CCACAGAAACCACTTGTAGTGTATGCCCAAAGGGGCTTCCTAAATATCTATAGCTTGAAACTCTATCTCCTTGGCAACGAATGAGATATGGGATAATCTAAATGAGAGAAATTACCACCCTTTATGTAGCCAAAGGCCCAGTAGTTCTCCATATGTACAAAAACATATTTGATTTTAAATTTTAAATCTAATACAACCTAAAATTCTAGCTTAAACCAAACTATAGCAAGCAAAACCCATAGCTGATTTTATCCCATCAAGAGCATAAATAGAGTAAATTGAAGGAAAAAGAGTCGAATATCAAACCTGTAGAAGTATCGCCAAATCGCTCAGGATTCGCAGGAGCATCCATTATATAAACAAATTAAAATTACTACTCAATATAGAAAAAACCAAAAAACGAAAACTTGAATAATTTAACTGAATCGTCGATCTATCGGGTTTAAAAAAAAACTAAATCTGGGATTTAAAAAATAAAGGAAAGGAATTCAAAGAGAAAGGGAAAAATAGAGGTTTTGAAAGCATAAACCCTTTGAAACGAAATAGGGTCTGATGGGGGAGAAGATCTATGCAGCATTAAGGAAATATGTTTTTTTCTTCCTTCAATTTTTTCCAAGTCAATATTGATTAGACAAATTGAACAGAAAAAAGGAACCCTAAAGAAGAGATGATGAAGGTTATTTATTTATTGGATAACTTTGTTTTTTGCAATTTGTTAGCTTTTTCTGGCTTTGAAGATTTTGCAAACTATTTATATTAAATCATTTTTGATAGGCTGTTTATATTATAAGATAGTAAATTTAATTTTTATATGTTTATATTAAAAATTAAAAATATCTAAAATTCTAATAAATACTTACAATTATAAGAGTAGACTATACACATACGTAGTAGGATATTTTCTTATAATTATTAACCTAATAAATTAACTTTTCAAGATACTACGAGGACAATATAAGTAAAATGATTTAAAATCTAATCAAATAAACGTAAACAAAAGATGGATTATGAATAAATGTGATTACGTTAACAAACGAACCACAAAAATTGATGTAATGAAACATATCAAAACTTGGTTATGAACGTGTGTTCACTTTACGCATGCTCGAACTAGAGTTTTAACAATGTTGGAGCTGGGATTTTCTGACCTGGTTTCTTCTTCCTGCAGAATGCAACTTGCAGTGCTTCAGGGCAAACTCAAACCATGATTCGGGAAGCACCAACGATCACCCAAGCTCCTGTTCACTTAATAACAAACACATACACTTTCAATAGTTTGGCAAAATTTGTTAGATGTTTTCCTTCTTGATTTTCTAGAGACTTGAGTCCCACCTGAAGTTTGATTGTGGTAAGGTTACAGTGTGGTAAGTGATATTTCCTTGAGTACTTGAAAGGGATAATGATAGGCATGTATCGCCTCATACTCGTTTCAGAAATTTAGCCATGCTGTTTCGATGCTTGCACTTCCATGCACCATCAGCTTTGGTAGGATGACTGTATGTAAGAATCCAGATGCTGCTCGTTCGCTTGAAGCATCAACAGTGTTCATTTTTCTGTTTCTAGTTTCTCTACTGCCTTTCCTTCTTTTTAGCGAAAATCTTACAAGAGTGATAAACATACATACTTTCATGATGTCTTTTGCCATACTGGATTTCACCATGAGCTGCTACCGATTTTTATATTACCTTCTTGCTAAGTTTTGTGTAACTATTTTCCCACTCAGGAGCTAGATGTTTAAAACCCTTGATGATTCTACTTCATGAGAAATTTTATATGTTATGAGTACATATAATTTTATGAGAAAATGTAACTGGCTTAACATGTTTTATTGAAATGCAGCAAAGGAGAAATCGCCGCAGCTGGATGATGGGGATTCTGGATTTCCACCCCGTGATGATGATGGTGGCGGAGGAGGCGGTGGGGGCAACTGGTCTGGCGGATTCTTCCTCTTCGGATTTCTTGCTTTTCTTGGCTTCTTAAAGGATAAAGAAAGTGAAGAAGATTATCGCTGCAGTCGAAGAAGATAAGACAGGCTGCTAAATTGAAAACATTTTTGGAACCTATTGCATATTGCTCTTCATAGTTCATATACCGTATTACTTTTGACAATGGAATTACCTAACATCCTTAACATGGATTTGACACAACTAGAAGCTATGTTACTTGGATTCGGGTATGATTGTCGGATTTTGGTGTCTCCTATAAAGTTTAGGTGAGGTTCGACGCTAACGAACGTTAAGGTCGAACCAATCCACCCAACACTGGCTTGGCTTGATCAAAGGGTTTGCTTGTAAGCAAATCAAAGTGAGATAATCCATGGTTGTAAGCTAAGTTGAAGGTTCCCATCCTGGTCTGCTCATGTCGTTTGTTGGGTGTCTTGTTTGTCTGTATATTAGAGAATCATGATGTTTTGTCGTCGACAACCTCAAATGAAATAATTCTTTGGAGACATGATTTGCTTTCTCACTTTTCAATTTTATAATGTTACTTTTTCTTTTATTCATATTTGTATATAAAGTGATTTAACTATGTATGATGTTATTAAAATACTCGAGTCCTACTCGATTTGATCGTAAACACCTTTACTAAAAAATATAAAGGATAAAGTACACAAATGATCCTCTGACTATAAGATATTTTTTTAAGTCTCTTGACTATTAAAAACTATAAAATAATCACTCGATTATTCATTGCTCATCTTTTTTTTTGTTAAAAAATTGATGACAGTTTGAATTTGACGTTAACTTATTGACTGTGATATGATATAAGTTGATCCTAGAATCTCAAACGACTATGATATCTCAATTAGTAGGATAACATCCAACTCAAATTGTCATCAATTTTTAATGAAAAATAATGAGTTTGGAACACAATGAATAGTTGGTGGTCATTTTATAAATTTTAATAGTCGAGGGGCTAAAAAAGGACTGTCCTATAGTCAAGAAATTATTTTGTAACTTTTAATAGTCGGGAGACTTAATAAAGTAGTATCATATAGTTAGAGGATCATTTGTATATTTTACCCAAATATAAATGTGTAGAGAGCCATTTAAAAATTTCAATTATTTGCATGATTTTGTAATTTAGTTGGAAACTTGAAAAGTTGGTCACAATTTGGGCAAAATGGACCATCATGATATGCTGTTGCAACCCAATTCTATTATTATTATTATTATTATATTATTATTATTATATTTTAAAGAAATTATCCCCTTACCAACTATCATTATTATTTTTATGTATCAGGTAATTCAAACATTAATTTTTAAGATAAGGTATTCATTAAATATTTTATTCTTTCTATTTGGACGATTCGTAACCATCAATTAAAATGTTGAATATAATATCTCACCAGCAAATTCTAACTACTTGAAAGTACTTTAGACAGTGGGGTTTCTAATAAATAAATGTGTTTATTTTTTATTTTTGAATGAAAGGGAAAACACAAAAGCTAAAATAAGACAACCGCTATACTGCCTGCACTCTAGGGCATCCTGATGGTATTGTCGACCAACATCTTCCGGAGGGGACTGGAAGTATCGGAACCCAGACTCCTCCGATCGCGCTAACTTCGCCATTCTGTCCGCCACCGCATTACAGCGTCGAGGGACATAGTTTAGAACAAGCTGCCAATTTCTCCTAAGTGGATCCACAATATGTGGAATCAGGGAGGAAGCACTCCACGACTCCACGTAGCTCCTTCTTCCTTCAACGCTTCAATCGCTTCTTTGCAATCGGTTTCTATCACAACCGCTTTCAGCTGCAAGTCCCAAGCCAGTTTAAGTCCAACAAGGATCCCCCATAGCTCCGCTTCTGATATCGAGCACCGACCGATGTATTTCGCGTAGCCCACTATTCGGATAACTCCTCCAATAAATGTGTTTATTTTAATTTTATGTTTCCGTATTTTCATAAATTCTTTTACAATTAATATTGTAATAACTAACTTATTAAATATTCTTTGACAATTAATATTTTAATATTTGTTATATATATATTATTAAGTTAAGATGATTACAAAATAGTATTTGTTTTAAATAATTTTTAATAATTTGACAATGAACATTAAATCATCCCTACTGTAATTGCTGATGCTCGAACTAGAGAATTTTAGAAATAATAATCATTCATTTAATCAGTAATACAATTCGTACAAAATTATTATAAACAAATATGAGAAACCACCCATTACAAATATATGTCAACATTCTCAGTCACATGGGTATGATTAATGCATGATAAAAAAAAAACCCCTAGATTTATCCCCTTTTGTGAAAAAAAGGCATGTAGAAATATATTGGGCATGAGAGAAAGATTGATGAGCAACCCTTATTTTATATAAATTTAAGGTAAATACAAGGTAATATCTGTTCAAAGATAATTCTCAATTTTTCGACATTAAACACTCACACCTCTAGTATCCAGGGGTGGATGAACTAAGCCCCATAGGGGGCAAGTGCATCCCATTATTTAGGAAAAATTGTGAAATTTAGTTTAATACGTTAAGGAAAAATACATTTTTTTAAGTACCCATTATTTCTAAGAAAATAATATTAAAATTTTAGACTCTATTTTTTAATTTCTAGATCCGCCACTGCTGGTATTTATAGTGTTCGAACTCAAATACTCAAAAAAACAATAATAACTTTTTTATCACATAGGTTACTTGGTTGGTGTATTGATGAGCAATTTAGCCGAGTGAGAAAGAGATCCACGTGCACTCCCTTTCTCAGTGTTGCTTAAACCATAGACGACGAAGGGTCATCCATCCTGTGTGGGACATGCCTTTCATCTTTGTCTTTATCTTACATTTCTTATTATATCACCGTCTTCATTATCTTATTTTTCTGTTGTGTATTTTGGGTCTAGTTTCTTTAAGCATTGTAACTTTTATTTATAGTTATGATTTAACATATTTTAATATGATAGACCAATAGATTCATTGTTTAAAGCCCCACCTTATATTCCCTCAAAATTCATTAGAAAAATTGAGTCCATCATCTCTTTAAAATTATATAATTAAAATGTTTGGTTGCTAAGTTCGATCCCCACAAATTATTCTGTTTTCTAGCACCGAAATACAAAGACTTTGCACCCACCATGTATCCAACCCTTTTAAGTACCCTTTTCATTCACCTTCATAGAGTGTAAGTCAATTCTCCCTTCATCTTCCAACCAAAAAAATATCTTCATCAGTTTCCCCATCTAAACAAAATTCAATGAAAAAAATCAATCTCATACTTCGAAAATGCAAGAGCTTGTCGAGACAACTAGGCAGGTCATCCTCTTATAGCAGCCTGAGATCGAAGTCGGCTAGGGAAGATCATCATTGCCACGTGTGGGGTCATATGAGAAGAAGAAGAAGAAACAACAACAACGATGGTGGTAACGATGAAGGTCAAGAATGCCAAACGATATACGTTGGGAGTACAAGAAAACGGTACGTGATCAATTCGAAGTACCTTAAACATCCGTTGTTGAATGCTTTGATAGAGAAGCATGGAGGGGAAGATCACATTTTGTTGGTTAAATGTGAGGTGGTTTTGTTTGATCATCTTTTGTGGTTACTTGAGAATTCTGATCCAAATCTCATCTTGGATTCCTTGGAGGAATTGACTAACCTCTATGTGTTTTGAATATATATATATATATATATATATATGATGTTGATCTTGTTTTCTAAGGCTAAAAACATGATCAAGTATTCATGTAAGGTTGTGATGATGATGATTTAGAGGTCTAATGTGATAGTTCAATATTTGTGAAGGACCTTTTATTAATTTTTTTTTTCTGGTTGAACAAAGGAAATAATAAGATAACAGTACTTTCTCCAACAATATTATTCTCAGGTATTGGAGTCATTCAACAAGAATTTCAAATGAAAATGCATATAATCTATTGTTATTTACTACTCAAGCATAATGCGCTGGAAATTCGACGCCGTGTGGTGTTCCCCTTCACGCTAATACAGACTCGTAAGACTCAGATAATTTCTCCGATTTAAAAGGAGATGCTAAATGTAACTAAGTTTCAGAACTTCCTCATGAGAAGAAATATCCTCTGGTCAAGTTCGAAATGGGAGACATGAGAAACTTCTCCCCTGAGAAGCATTAGAAGCCCGCCATATGATACGTATAACTCCCTGGAAAAAAACAACACATATATTAAGTCTAAGATAAGATATGAAGATTAGATTAACGACTGATTACATTTAATAGACATACGCTTTAAGTCCTCCCCCCGAAGCATCGTCTGTTATCTTGTATAGCTTCCCATGCATGACATACTCAAACTTATCTGCAAGAGACTTCCTCCCCTGAAGCACATGTTGAAATCTTTTAGGCATATAGAAATCAAAATACCAGGCATGTTTAACCTATAGGCGCATTTCATACATGCATGCGTGCATATAACTATGACAACAAACCGGCATGAAAGACAATGTGCAGTAGTCATGGCAAAAAAGTGGAATTTCAAAACACTCTTTTAGCTTGAGACCAACAAGACTTAATAGCTAACCATTTGAACCTATAAGTTATCAAAAACATCTGATTGTTAGAATGAGAAACATAAGAGAACATCTTAGTTATCGAGACCAAACTTCAAGAGAAAATTGTTTATTTACTCCTACATGAGAAAGACAGAATACAACATTCTCAACAGTAATCAGTTCAATGTAGCTACTTGGTGTAGCACCTGGTCGTCTAAGACACTTCGGAAACATATCGATATGTTTTTTCCCCAAGCATCCCCTCCAAAACCCCAAACACAGGCGTACGAGGACAGAAAAACAGAGAAACAGATAGAGCAAACTCGATTTATGCTCATTGTTCTAGTTTACTTCAACAGCGATAATATTGTATGAGAAGGGCAAACTATATTCTACTTATCCAAATTTCCGGTCCGGAATCAACTCAAACAATCAGGCAGTAAAACATCAAAGAAATCAAAGTTCAAACTCAAGCTCTGGAGATTAGAGTAGAGCCTACATGAATGATTTCATTACCAACAAGAATCTCTTTTGCAGCATCAAAAGAAATTGCAAAAAGTGTTAAAGCATCAGAAAGGCAATGGTAAGATTACCGGAGTGTAATAGCCGGTGTCAGGCGTTCCGTCCAAATTCAACGTGTGAGCTAAGGCCATCATGAATTTATCGTCGACACGCAAAGGATATATCTCTGTATTTACATCCAGCTGCATGAACATATCACAGTTCTGGCTCCGCGCTTCGATGCGAGAAACTGCGCATGAATCGATTAGTTCAAGCAAGTTGGAATTTGATTGATATTATTTGTTCCTTTAAGCAAAGATCATTGTGCATATACTTCAAGTGCAAAAAATTGGATTGAAAACTCTAATTAAAACTACTTTATATCTTCCACAAGTAAACATCAAACCCAAGATGCACTTCTAAAAATCAAGCATAAATGCATAATTATTTTATATTTTAAATGGAAATAATAAGAAAAAAATGGGAAAACATTAAAAAGCTTGATCATTTATAAAATTACAGTGGCATCTTAATATTTCATGCATAATTGAAACTATTAGAGAACAGTGAAGGAAACTCAGTGAGAACAATGATACCCAAAGTACGTCAACTAGAGAAAGAAAAAACAATCATAGAGAGAAAAGATTGAAGATTTGACCTTTATCAAACTTTTTACCATCCGGTTCGAGCTTATCAACAACAAAGATATCCTCGAATTGTATTATGCTTGACATTGTGCGCAGATTTTTAACCCTCAAGCGCAGCAAAACTACGTCAAAAGGGTCGACGGGTAACAAAGAAACTGGCTTTATATATAGCTTTTAATATAATAAGATAACCCAAAACCTAGCGTAAATTCAGGCTCTGCAGGGCTTCGGACTCTACTCTCTTCGATAACTTCTATAAATTGCGCGCCAAAAAAAAAATGCAACACCGATTCTATTTGGTTAAATTAGACCACAGGTCACTCTATTATTATTACATATAAATAATTACTTCATTGTATTTTAGAATTATTACTTAACCACTTAATTAACTGATTACAACAATCAAATTATTGTACTTTATAGTATTTTAAAGGTTTAAATAAAAATAATTTCTTAGACTATTTTTTTTACTTTTAAGTTCCTAAATAATTTTTTAGTTAAAATAAATCCTTAAATTATTATATGTAACTACTTTAAGTACCTAAATTATTTTTTAATTCACATAAATAATTAATATAATAATTTAAGGATTTATTTTTAAAGTATTAAATAAAAAAAACATATGGATTTAGATTTTTAATATGACTTTATAAAAGAAGTATGCAGTTTAAGTGAGAAAATGAGATACTTCAGGACTAAATTGAGCATTAAACATTTTTTCTCTCTATATATATTTCAGATAAATTGCGTTCTGTGCAGCTGAATACAATCTCAAGTTCAACTACGCCCCTAGGGTTTATCTAGGGTTTCTTATCTCTCTCAGTTCCTGTCTTGTATTCCACCAATGGCGAAGCCGACGAAAGGCCGTCGCTCGCCTTCTGTCTCCGGCTCTGGTTTTTCTTCCCGGTCTTGGTCACGATCCCTCTCTTACTCCCGCTCAGATTCCAAGTCCAGTTCTCGCTCTCGGTCTCGCTCCAGATCTATCTCATCTTCCCCTCGCAGCGCCAGCTCTCGAAGTCGCAGCCCTCCTCAGCGCCGAAGGTCAATTTCTTTTTCGCTTGTCAGATTAAGGACGCTTTCGAAATTGTTCTAAAAAATGAGTAACTTAGAAGTTTTGAAAATTTTAATAATGGGATTGCATTTTGTCAATAGCAAAAGTATATGAAAAGATTTACCAGCATTGTCAGTTTAAATTTGTGCAGAGGCCTTAAGTATTGGATATGTGCTATGCTAGGTTCAGATTATCCTTTTCAAAATTTAATTTGTGTTTCTGAGATTTCTTTTATTTCCTTGACACAGTCAGGCTGATGCATCTAAGCTAGGTCGTTCCCCTCCTCCACAATCTAAAAAGGCATCTCCTGTTCCAAGGTAAAGCCATGTTAAGTGATTTACCAGCATTGTCAGTTTAAATTTGTTCAGAGGCCTTAAGTATTGGATATGAGCTATGTTAGCTACAGATTATCCAGTATTGTCAGTTTAAATCTCTGTAAGGCTTTATGTTGTTCTCTGTGCATTTCATACGTTCAATATTATTAACAACTAGGTAATGAACTTTTAAAGGTAATCCATTATTTAGGAAATCACAGAATTGTCAAAAAAGAAACTAAGTTATGATTTGCTTGAAGCTAGTGTATGAGGTTTTGTAGTGATAGAGAAAACCAATTATCTTTTACGAAGCAGTTTTTAGTTTAATCATTCATCTCACAGGAAAGGATAAGTGTTATCTATGTTAGTTTATTATGATACACTTGTCCTGTTCCCCCCCCAAACACAAAAAAAAAACAGTTTTGAGCACGGGGAATTTTTCATTGGTTCCTGTTCTCTTCATTCATGAGCGAATTTTCTAGATGAAAAGCTCTTAATTGTATTTTTTTTCTTTTTCGAAAAATCATTAAAAAAAAATCAAATTGTGTGTTGAGTCATTCTCATTTGTATTGGTCTCCAGGTGTTTCGCCGCGACTATCTTTTTAGCTAGTCTAAAGGATGGAGCGAACCAGACTTAATACGAGGGGTCGTTACTCTGGTTCGACACCATCAGAGGAATCGGCTTTGGATTCCGAAAGGAACTGCTGCTGCCATCCTCATCTTCCTTCGTTCAGTTCGCTAATCTACAGACAGGAGTTCTGCCCGAGACTCTTGGTCGGATGCCGAAAGGGCAACAAGCAATGACGTTACTCGAGCTGATGACCATAAGAGCATTTCATAGCAAGATTTTGAGATGCTGCAGTCTTGGGACGGCAATCGGTTTTCGTATTAAAAAGGGAGTGCTGACTGACATACCTGCTATCCTCGTTTTCGTCTCCAGGAAAGTTGACAAGCAATGGCTCAGTCCCATCCAATGTCTACCTACAGCATTAGAGGTTATTCAATTTTACTTCCTATCATCCCCCCTTTCATATGTTGCTCGTATTCTTTGACCCTTTCCATTTCTGACTACACTGGTTTTTATCTTGTTTCAACCCCTTTTAGTTGGGCTCGGGTCAATATGTTGGTAAAATAAGTATTAAATCCTTTAATCAGGGGCCAGGAGGAGTATGGTGTGATGTGGATGTTGTGGAGTTCTCGTATTTCGGTGCGCCTGAGCCAGCACCCAAAGAGCAGCTGTACACGGAGATTGTGGATGATTTGCGTGGGGGTGACCCGCTTATTGGCTCTGGTTCTCAGGTATTCTCAAGTTGCCTTGCGCAATGTTTTTAATTCTATGGTTGGTAGTTGGTAGATCTTTATGGTATACAAGCATGTTTGAGAACTCTGAACTTCCAAAGCAAGCTTTAGATTCCAGACTAGTCCTATATGGTATATTATTGTCAGGTAGCAAACCAGGAAACATATGGGACTTTGGGTGCGATTGTGAAAAGTCAAACCGGCAGCCGACAGGTTGGGTTTCTTACAAATGGCCATGTTGCAGTTGACTTGGATTACCCAAATCAAAAAATGTTCCATCCTTTGCCTCCAACACTTGGCCCTGGTGTATATCTTGGTGCAGTGGAGAGAGCTACTTCATTCATCACAGACGATCTTTGGTATGGCATTTTTTCCGGAATAAACCCGGGTAAGAATTTTATGATAACTTGGGTTTTGCTAATTCACATTTTAATTTTGTGTTGGAAGCTTATGCTGCAACACGAACGAACTACTTAACTATTTTGAAGTTATCTTTATGAAGCTTTTGAACTGCTATTTTTCAGTTTTCTTTAGAAATCTAGACAATACCATTGGTTCATTACAAACTCCGTGCCATTTTTCGTTTAAGGTTTAATCAGCTCGCCGTTATGCATTTTTTATTGGTTTTTAGGTGGATATGATTTATGCTTTGCTTCCTTCTTCATGTTCGATTAATTTTGCATTTGTTTTCAAATGGGATTTTGTTTACCTTGCTTGACGTATTTGTCTCAATATCATATTGCTTATGTATCTTTTCAATGCCTTGCATTATTCGGAATATGATATGTAGTTATGGCACCATTGAAATGGGATCTCATTGGGATTACTTTTTTTCAATCATTGGACTAGTTGGTTAAATGCGGAACTCCCGCCGTTCGTATCTAGCTTTGTTGCTATTCTTTCCTTATCCTCTTTCATGTTTCCCATCTGATCTGCTCAGCAGGTTTTGCTAGTGTTTGCCATTTTTCACTTCTTGAACTGACTTTCAATCGTGTCCCTAACAATTCCATTAACTTGCAGAAACATTTGTCAGAGCAGATGGTGCATTTATCCCGTTCGCTGATGATTTCGACATGTCCACTGTTATTACATCCGTTAAAGGTGTTGGTGAGATTGGTGATGTCAAGGTTATCGATTTACAGTATCCAATTGGTAGCCTTATTGGCAAGCAAGTTATGAAGGTTGGAAGGAGTTCTGGCTTAACCTCGGGAACCGTATTAGCTTATGCCCTTGAATATAACGATGAAAAAGGCATATGCTTCTTAACCGATTTTCTTGTTGTCGGCGAAAATCAGCAGTGTTTCGACCTTGAAGGGGATAGTGGAAGCCTCATCATTATGAAAGGTGAAAACGGGGAGAAGACAAGGCCAATAGGAATTATATGGGGTGGAACTGCAAACCGGGGTCGGCTTAAGCTAAAAGTTGGACAACAACCCGAAAATTGGACCAGTGGGGTTGATCTTGGGCGACTGCTGAACCTCCTTGAGCTTGATATTATAGTTACAGAGGAAGGGCTTAAAGGTTTTTCGTTTCCTTTAACACTTGTTTTGCCTACCATCATTTTAGTTTTATTTTATATCATATTTCGTCTTCAGAATGATGCTTAGAACAACTGGAGCGACGTGCGTCTTTGATGCCGTGATTGAAATTTTGAACCTTTACTGTGTTATTTTCGTGCTGATCATAAAGATAGGTACAGGCCCTTAGCTCAAGGACATATTCTCTTCGTTTCCAAGTGAGTAATCTGGGTTTATGTATCATGGTTGACTTTCCTCATTAAGAGTTTTCTTTGGCGAGATAGACATAGACCGAGAATGATCGAACCCCTATGATGAATGAAAATCCAAATATAATGCCGGAAAATTGACCTTACACTTCAATTATGGTCTTTAGGCTATGAAAGGCCATTTTCATCTATTGCATGCATCATGCAAACTGGCTATGAGACTTCACAACTTTTTCCTAATGTCACTTTCATTTCTTTTTATTTGCAGAAGCAGTGCAAGAACAAAGAGGAGCTTTGGCAGCAGCTATTGCCTCCACGGTTGGGGACTCTTTGAACCCCCGGAACGTGTTCTTCTAAAGGACATGAGCGAAAACAAAATTGAGCCATTAGGTTTTAAGACTCGGCAGATCCCATTAGAAGTAGACTGCAACAGCCCAGAAACGAATCCGTCGACAATAAAAACTGAGTTCCATTTGGAAGATGGTATGAATGCTGGTCCTAGCATAGAGCACCAGTTCATTCCAAGCTTCATCGGAAGATCTCCCATGCATAAAAACTTATTCGACAAGGCTGTCTCCGAAGCCAAGCGGAGGCGTTCCGAAGCCTCAACCAGCACAAAAGAACCAAAGTGAAAACCCCTTTTGGAGCTTGAGGGTTGGGAGCCTAACTTTGTAACTTTACTAGGTCGAGTTAACCAAAGTAAATTACACAAGAGTGATTCAGTAAAGAACTTTCTTTTTCCCTCTTTGCCTGTGTTTTATTTTCTTCCAGGGCTGAAATTCAGGGACGGAGCCAGAATTAAATATTATATTAGACTATTTAAAAAAAATATAAAGACTTATTAGGCATTTAAACTCGAAATTTAACTTGAACCAAACGACCTTAGTGATTAAGGGATTATTGTTATACTTGAGGTCCCGAGTTCAAACACGTATGTAGGAGTATGAGTGTTCATTGTCAAATAGTTGAAAGTCTTTTTACTGATATTATCTTGTATTCACCCTAAATTAAAAAAAAACTCAAAACTCAAAAGACAACTTTTAATTTGTTTAATATTTAAACTTATAATGACTTGAATTGTAATTAGATCAAAATTTTGAGAACACAGATTTAATAAATTTTTTAAATTTAAATATTTATTTTTACATGAATTGAAATGATATTAAAATATAAAATTATATCGAATATATAAATTTTAACATGGGTCGGGGCCCCTTGGGCCTAAGGGGAGATCCGTCCCTGACATGGAATGTGGCCTTCAAAAGAATTGCTCCGCAGTAAAAGAACCTCAGCATCTATTCCATTAGGAATCTCACCGGCCATGTTGTTGTTGCTAACATCAAAGAGTTTCATGGAACTATAGAATTCCTTCTTTGTTATTAGACTTCCGGTGAACTCATTGTTCCTCAGTCTCAACACTTGTACTCCACTCAAGTTAAAGTGAGTGGAAAAGAATTCACCATGAAAACTGTTGTTCAACATCAAACCAACTGGATCAATGCAATTTTCTACCAGTTCATGTGGAACTTCCCCTGATAAATTATTGAAGGATAAATCCAACCACGACAGCTTCGTCATGACACCAACCGAGGACCGGAGCTCGCCTACAAACAAGTTGTTGGATAAATTGAGATACTGTAAAATTTGGAAGAAACAGTCCAATATCCATTGGAAGTTGCCCTTCAATATGATTGATACATCAACATAAACCATACGACTCATAGGATTCTCCGGAAGAGGATCGAGATTCCCGATAAACGAGCCATTCCCAAGGTACAGAAACCGTAGATCAGTGTTATTTTCAAGCAACCAGATAGGCAAGGCTCCGCTCAAGTTATTGTGCGAGATATCAACCCATATTAACCGATGCCGGTTTAGCAAAAACAGAGGAGCATTCTTCAGGTTGCAATTCGAAAACCACAATGCCTTTAGCTGAAACAATGGAATCCCTGCTTGTTCATCATTATCAATCTGTAGTTTGTTTCCTGTGCTCCCAATTACGACCACATCAAGCTTGGAGTGATTGAATAAGGAGCTAAAAGAGAAGGAACCTTCAAAATCATTATGGCTAATATCCATGAACCGAAGAAAGTTTTGGCTTGGTTTTGAATATGATGTAACTGAAGAGGTTATGACGCAGATCAAGAATCTTAAGAGATGTCAAATTGCTTAGACAAGGAGGAAGAGTTCCTTGGAAACTATTATCTAACACTTGAAGTCTCCTCAATTCACAAAACCCTGGCAGGAGGAGTTTCAATAATTTACAAGAAAAACAATGATTTCACCTCAATTTAGTTATACAATTACCAGGGACCGGCAAAGAGCCATTGAAGTAATTATCTGCCAAATACAGAGCTTTAAGATGGGATATCTTCCCAATATTTTGAGGAATACCCCCTTCCATAATATTTCTGCGTAAATCTAATACCTCCAATCTTATCAAATCTACGGACAAAGCAAAGATAATGTAAGCTTCATCAAATATTTTTTTCCTTAGAAATAAAAAAAAGAATTTGCATGTTTACGTACCTTGATTCGACAGAGTGCCTCGCATAAAATTATCGGAAAGATCAAGAGACTTAAGGGGCGGAAGTGAGCCCAGAAACCTAATAATATTAGTACCGGTGAAGGAGTTATCATGCAGAATTACGTTCCTGAGCTTTGAGCAATCCACAGAACCAGGATAATTATCACAAATCAACGAGTGTGAATCATCATCATCGTCATATATATATATATATATTGATTAAATTCCAACATGTATACCTCGGGCAGGGAAGGATCCGTTAAAGGAATTGCCACTAAGGTTCAAATTCTTAAGCGATTTGAGTTTCCTCAAAGAATGCAGATGGCTGCTTGTTAAAATGTTATACGAAAGATCCAACGTCTCCAGCTGTTGTAGCCTAGACCAACCATTAGACCCAATAAACAAGATATTATGAGCCAAAAATTTAAAGATATTAGATGTGATCATGTATGTAATAACCATACCTTGGTTCTCTTTCCATCTCATACAATTGTAGGCTAAAATGAGAGTTTTTAGATGTTTAAAAGACTGGACTAAGGTGATGTTCCAATTGAAGAGGGAGAGCCTCTGAAGCCGTCCGGTGGTGAAGTTGCAGCTAAGTCTCTCCCAGCCACAGCAATCACTCATCGGATCATCGACCCATGAAGGCAGTACAACATGCTCTGCACCATTCATGACTTGTATCTTAAGAAACGACTTCAGTTCTAACAGCCCTGTCCTCTTTTTCTTCAGAACAAGCTCTTTGCGCATCAGCTTGAGTGAACATGATGACCAAATTATAGGGTAAAGTACACAAATGGTCCTCGACTATAGGATATTATTTTATTAAGTCTTTTGACTATTAAAAATTAAAAAATGGTCATTCAACTATAAAGTGTTATTTTGTTGAGTCCCTTGACTATTAAAAGTTACAAAATAGTCATCTGGCTATTCATGTGTTTCAAACATGTCCTCCAAGTTGAGCTTTAACTTTTTTTGAAGCGATGTTTATTAGTACTATAGATATTTTTTTTTATTAATCTGGGTAAGTACAAGGTAACATTGTTCAAAGATAACTCTCAACCAATTGATATTGAACGCTCACACTACTGACATTCCTGGTGCTTGAACCCGGAACCTTGAGGAATAACATCAATTCATTTACCACTGAGGTCGCTTGGTTCGTACTTGATAATATAGATTAGAGATAACAGTAGGGGAAAGTTTATATTTATAATTTTTCTAATATTTAAAATATATTGTAGTCAAGTATTCACATTCTCTAAATATACCCTTCTAATTTTCAACTTTTGTTTAGGATTAGTTCGTTATTAACCTTAAAAAATTTTATAAAATTTTTCAACTTCTATTCAATAGTATAAAGTAAAGAAAGATAATGTCCACTTATTTTTATAAGTCAACTAAACCTAAGAGAAAAACACACATGTTTAATATTTATTTTTAATAGATATTTTAATATTAATACTATAAAATCAGGGACAATCGATCAGTGATGAAATTGAAATAGTTTAAAGTTGAACACGAATCAGGAGATTTTAGTAGTTAAGGTATTTGTTATCATGTTATAAGGTATCAGATTCGAGCACCGCTTATGTAGGAGTATGAACGTTTATTGTAAAAGGGTTGAAAATCTTTCAACAAATATTATCTTTTATTCAGTTCAGATTTATTAAAAAATATTTTAGTTTTAAAGAAAAAATTAGCTCAAAAAAATTAACAATAAAATTAAAACTTTTTATATCTCAATAATCAAAATAAGGCAAAATCTAAAATCTGATGACGAATTATATAATTTACCCACTTAATAATTTACGATAGGTTTATCAAAAAAAATACAATTTGTGACATTTTAATCAATAGAGAATATAATTATTAATAAAAAAATTACTTGTAACATATCATCATATTATAGTTGAATCGAGTTTGATAATATCTTATTGATTATTTAAATATTTAATTTGAACCCTATCTGAAATAATAACTTTTAAAAGAATTGATTAATTTTTCATTCACCGATAATTCATATCTTCATTAATCAATATACATTTTATGAAACGAATTAAAAGTAGGGTAAAACATACAAATGGTCCCTCGATTACAGGGTATTACTTTATTAAGTCTCATGACTATTAAATGTTATAAAAGGGTCATCTGATTATAAAATATTATTTTGTTAAGTCCTTTAACTATTAAAAGTTACAAAATGGTCATACGACTATTTATTATGTTTCAAACTCGTCATTTTCCGTTAAAAATTGACAGTATCTTGAGTTGAACGTTAACATGTTGATTATGATATGACAAAATTTGATCATAGAATCTCAAAAACTATCATATTGTTGTCCTCATGTCAACGTTCAGATTAGAAAATCGCCAATTTTCAACGAAAAATGACAAGTTTAAAACATAATAAATAGTCGGGTGATTATTTTATAACTTCTGATAGTCAAATGACTTAATAAAATAGTACCCTTAGTCTTAACACTAGAACACAAGCTAGACTAGAGGTGGCCATGCCCCTCAAAATTTTAAAAATTATAATTTAGACCCTTAAATTTTCAAAATATTTAATTTGGCCCTCCAAAATTTTAGAAATTCAAATTAAATTTTAAATTGTTTGAATGTTCTTAATTAAGCCCCTTCCATAATTTTTGGAGATTCTCGTAAAGCCTCTCAAAATTTTAAAAAATTTAATTAGACCCTAATCTTTAGGGGGGAAAATACAAACTAAACCCTTTAAAATTCTTAATTTAAAGCTCTGATTTTTTTTTAATTTTAAAGTTGCCCCCAAACTTTATCACTATGTTCCACCACTGCTTAGTCAGGGATCATTTGTGTAATTTACCCTTAAAAGTAATGAACCATAGCTTTATGTACATAGAACTACAAAAAGATATAGACGACACGAGAACTAAATTTATCATAACATAAATATATATACCTTCATCTTCAGTCTTCGTCTTCATCTATATAATATACGCATATAGCCAAAGTATCATGAGAAGCAGATACAACAGACCTCGACGCCAACTTCTACTTGTTCGGCATCGACTTCAGCCATGACTTCAACCATATCTGCGGCTGCTTCCAAAACTTCACCTGCATCAACCCCATCTTCCTTCTCCTTTTTTGCACCTTCTTCCTCCTTCTGCTGCTCATTACCTTTCTTTTCTGCACAGTTAACCACAACTACAGACCCTAACACAATAAATAACACCATAGCAAAGATGACTGAAACAACCGCACCCCCACTCATCCTTATAATCCCTTAACTCTCCGTCGATACGAATAGGAAATGCAGAACACAATCAATCATTTATATAAGCTTTTTATATAGCTGTCTGCAATATGAAAACGAATTAAAAGAATAAATTACTAGGGAATCGGGTACTAGATGCTTGAATATCTTTAATATTAATTCCTTTTCACGATGATTATTAATTTGTTTTTCGTGTTTCAGATTTGTACTTAAATCTGTTGTCTTGTGTTTGAACTTTTGCTGGTTTTGTAATCTTTCGTTTGTTGTGATATGTTTGTTCCGGAAAAAGAAACAAAAAAAATTAGTATGGATTCATTTAATTAATTCTAATGTCATTTTAAGGAACTTTCAAGGCTGATTTATTCAATGACGGCTGCAATATTCATTTGGTTGACTTCTTGTTTTCTTCGTCGTTGTTGGATTTCTTCAACTCAACAGCATATAATCGTATTACGTTACCTATGTCGAACTGATTTGAAACAAAACCAATAAATAAGAAAATTAAAAGTACACGAATCAAATTGTCTTAATAACTAAAGAAATGATCATTATTCTTAGAAATTATGGATTTAATTATGAACATTTGTTTTCGAATTAAAAAATCGTACATTAAAGATTATCCACGTGTAGTTTTAAATTGCCATATGTGGCTGAAGCTGACTTCACAAAACGTCCACCAAGCATGGCCTTGTAAATGTGTGGCCCCGAAACACCGAGTCTTCGATCACAATAAAAGAACCCGTGTCCCATATGTGTCCCCTTGTGAAATAGTTATATTTCCACAAATTTTGAATAATTTACAAGGCAATGGCTCTCAAAACTGTGTTTGCTACTATTTTGCTCTCAACTTTCCTGTTCATCTCATCTGCATCAGCATAAAGAGCAAGAACTATCAACGTTGGAAACTACGGCGTCGTTCCCGACGGTCGAACAGATAATGAGAAGGTATTAATACAGTACCAAAACTGGATTTTTTTGTTGTTTCTCTGAATGAATGCTTATGTTGTAATATTTAGGGTTTTCTTCGGGCATGAAACGATGCATGCAATGGAAATGGAGCTTCGGTATTGTATGTACCCAAAGGAGATTACGTGCTCGGACCGGTTGTGTTTTCCGGTCCATGCAAACGTCCGATAATGTTTCTGATGACCGGAGTCTTGAAGGCTTTACCCGGACCTTCTGCTGTTTCAAACTGGATAAATTTTCGAAATGTAAGTCTTCTGTTGATCAAAGGTGGTGGAACATTTGATGGTCAAGGACCTTCTGCTTGGCGTTTCAATAATTGTCACAAGGACCCTAACTGCAGGCCGCTTCCAATTGTGAGTATATATTTTTTATTTCATGACAAAAAATTGTTATCTAGTATTTCTGATATGTTCTAATCCCAGAATCTCAAATTTGATTCGGTGATGAACTCGAGGATTGAATTCGTAAAATCAGTCAATAGTAACCAAACTCACATCTCATTCCACGGATGTAAGAACGTAAATATAACAGACGTTGAAGTACTGGCCCCGGCAGAAAGTTCCAACACCGACGGAATCAAGATGGGGAGGTCTTCCGGCATCCGGATATTGAACTCGAAAATAAGCACCGGTGACGACTGTGTAGCCATCCTTTCCAGGAGCTCGAACATCGAAGTTTCGAATGTTCATTGTGGTCCTGGACATGGTATCAGCATCGGAAGCCTTGGCAAGTACCATGGTGAACTGCATGTTCATGGCGTGACCGTGACAGGGGTGTACCTTTAGTCAAACCGACAATGGTGTTAGAATTAAATAATGGGCATCTCAATTTCCGGAAACTGCTTCAAACTTCTTGCCTCAAGATATTGTTATGGACTGAGTTCTAAACCCAATCATTATTGATCAGACGTATTGCCCTCTTACTGATCAAGGGGTAATTTCTAATCAATTTTTTTGCTAATATAATTCTCCATTTTAATCAAAATCTTAATGATCTAATCTTGTTTTTGTTTTTTCAGGCATCATCTCATATTCAAATAAGAGATTTTACATATAGGAACACACGTGGAACTACAAGCTCTGAAGTTGCTGTTTCTTTTGAATGCAGCAAGAAATTCCCATGCAAGAATATAGTGATGACTGACGTTAATTTTGTTCATTCTAAACGTGGATTATCTTTGAAATCCACGTGTTCAAATGTTATTGGTCGTAGCTTCGGCCTTTAAAACCCTCGCCCTTGCTTTTAGTTAGTAAAAACCTATATTTACACTGTAGTTCTGGCTATGTATTTTGCTGCAGATTCTCGGTATATATAGTGTGTAGCTCTCCTGTTTCAACTCTTTAATTAAAAAAAGAGAGCTTATTTTAGTAGTCATTATTCTATAAAGATAGTTATTTGAAGCACATGCGGTAAAAATATTTTTCCTACGAGAAACAGTACGATTACGACAGGTGCATTTGATTCCTCCCTGGGCAAGACCATGCTTATTATAATCATAAACTAGCAGGCAAAGAAACCCTAATGGGATTAACATTGTCTAAACAAAATTATGGAATAAGATTAAAAACAAATCTCAATCCGAAGCATAATCACAATATCGTCCGTCAAAAATGAAAAACGATTGCGAAGAAGAAAAAAGGGAAGTATTCGAGCATCCCTTCGACACTTTTTTCCATTGGGATATCATCTTCCTCCATCCATGATCTTAAATGACTTGGTTGAATGGTTAAAGCAATGTTGGATGGGTAACTCGGGGCCTCACCGGTGTTTTCGAAGGGCTTACCCTGGAAAATGAGAATATAAGCATTACAGCATTAGCTTTAGATGGCAATCATTGAATTTAAAGCAACAAGTTCAGGGACACGCACCTGATGGGCTGGGATCCTAGCACCATCCCACTGCAATTAAGAGCTATTATGGCGCTTTCAGCCTGTCCATAAAGGAAAAGTTATCAGACAACATTATGAAGGAGATATTATCACTTGGAAAACAAGTAATAAAGCACAGCTTCGTTGCACCGTACAGAGGATGCATGCACAAAAGCATCGTTATGCTCGTTGCACATACATTCAAACACACCGTTTGATCTTGCAACATTTTGCTATAACATCTATGATGTTCTGCAACATTTTAATGAACTATGGTAGAAGCCATTCGACTCATGCGATCAGTATCATACATCCTTTACAAGCTAAATGTAGTCATAGATAGGAGACTTGTTCCAAGAAGAACTCATATTTATATAGAATCGACTTAATCAACTAATCATTTCCTCTTTAGAGATAAAGAGGTGAGGTTCAAATAGAAAACTATGAACCAATTGCAGATATGTTTCAAAACTAGGAGTTAAGGCTGATTTTAGCCGAACATATTACTCCATTTAGAGTATAAGAGAAGAAATTAGAGCGGATAGATTTTTGCACAAATAGTTTGCAAAGAGACGTGGATGAAAATAAATTTAACAGCATAACAGGTATTGTGGTATACTGGTTAGAACCAGAGCCAAAAAAATAGGTTTCAAAGTATCATAAACATAATCTGAACCCGGATCTTTTTTGAATCCTGAAAATATGAACTTACCATGGCAAACTCAACAAAAGCAATACGGGTTGAATGCACGTTATCCCCTAAAAGCCTCAACCGAGTGACCTGAGAATTAAAATAAAATCGATGTCAACCTTCAAAACCTTTCTACCTTCAGTCTTCTAGTCGAAAACAGCCGGAAAAGGGCATGCATAGTATCGATACAATGCTAACCTCACCACAGGCTGATTCAAAGAAATTCTTCACTTCAGCTTGGGAAACCTTCAAGCAAAGTAAAAATATTCTAGTAAAAAAAGATGCCAACCAATTACAGCAGTGATAAAAGTCCAGAACTCAAAACATTAATGTAAGCAAACACAGGGTTTACCTTCTTGTCAATATTTGTACAATAAACTGTCCTGGTGCACATTTCCCTTTCATCTTCCGACTGCAATTGTAGTTATTATAATTAACGGCAAGTCGAAAAGAAAACTATAGAGAAACGTCAATAGCTATTTAGTAATATTGAAATGTCATTGGAAAGTGAACTTATATTCCAAACCGAGACAGCTAAGAGCCGGAAAGTTACTCGTCCATACCCGAGGGAGAAGTGTGGGGTTCACAGGGAGGATGGCGGTTTTTGATGGCAAGACCCGAACTGGATAAAACCCTAGCATTATCCCATTGAGGTTCAAAGCAGCCCTTGCACCTTCTGTGAAAACAAAGTTCATATAAAATGTAACATGTGAATAAATGTGCATTGATTTACAAAACAAAAGTTCATGTCTTGTCCTTAGCAGCTGCTTACCTTCATCTGCGAATTCCACGAATGCAAACCGAAGAACTGAATGCGGATCACCACAAACTCGGCAATCAACAACCTTCAATAATAATTTCCAACCCACTCTAGAAATGTCATACATACAGAAATCTGCCCCATAAGCTATCAAAGAAAGTAATCCTATCAAGCAGTATCAACCAAAGCGGCAACATCCTTTCTTTTTCCCGGGAAGAAAGGAGATACTAAACCCTCGAAATCAAATTCATAAGTTCTTTTGGAATTTTATGAGGCTCTAAACAAAAAACCAAAATATGAAATGCAGAACCATGCCTTAATAAGATACAAAAGTGGAAAATGGAGAGAGAGATGGAGCTAAATGATAAAGCTAGAACATTATTGTTAATTATTCCACATGTAGTATGAGAGAAGAAATTAGGGTTGTAAATGAACCGAGTTCGAATGAACAGACTTTTGTTCATGTCTGCTTATTTATTTTTAAGCTTGTTTAGGTATGGTTCGTGATCGTTAAGGATTTCATAATCACATTAATGTTTGTTTACTTAAAGATAGGAGTATTTATTTAATGTCCGCGAACATATTCAAAAATATGTTCATGAACGTATTATTGAACATGTTCACAAACAATTAAAAATCTTTTCATGAATAATAAACAAACAAACAAACCATAAATGAACATAATTCTAAACTTTTAGATATAAAATAATCAAACATAAATATAAATATTTATTAAGTATCTTTGATAGAAAAAGATCAAATATAAATAAGCAAACTAATAAAGGAGATCATAAATGAACTAATAAGCAAGCTTGTTTGTAAACAAAAATGAACCGAACGCACCTCTATTCAAACTTGTTCATTTAATAAACGAACATAAAATTTTCTTTCATATACATTAATTTAGCTTAACAAACAGCTCATGAGTAGTTCGTCGAGCCCTGTTCATTTACAGCCCTAGAAGGAATGAAGTTGTGCAAGATGCAGCATCACGGAGGAACAAACAGAGTTAAAACGGAAACTTTAAAGCCAGAACTTTAACTTACGTGTCCACAATTACTGAATAAGCCAGCAAGTTGCTCTTCAGTAACCTGAAAGAAATGATTTTCAAAAGTGACTTCACCAAATCAGAATGAAACCCGAAAAAAGAAATGGTGTCACTGGTTAAACTTACATTCTGATCAATATCAGAAACATATACTGTTTGCCTAATGCTATCATCTCGCTGAGCTCGAAAAGCTTTACCATTAAGCCTTCTCCTACCTTGGCTAGAGTTGTTTCTTCTCTGGAAAACACAAAAATAGCCATTTGCCAAATGTAACCAACGGAAATTAAAGAACAAATGCAACACCATGACATGTTAATATTGAGCTTAACCTTTCAGCTAATTCTGTCAACTTTATTAATAGAGACCCAACAGTCCAAAAAAAGTTCAAAAACAGAGCAGCTGACACTAATTGAGCTTAACCTTACAAATGACAGCAAAACAGAAACCAGTTCAAAATGAAGAATTTTATTAAACAAAGACAGGAATCGGACTGCAAATGCGTAACCATTCGGATTACAAAAGGAAGCAAATTTTAGAACCCCGATCTGTCTAAGCAATCAAAAGCATATCCATCAATAATCCACAAAAACCCTCACAGGAAAGATGACCATTTTCCCAAAAGAAAAATAAATAACACTAAGAATTAGCAAACACCCATCGTTCAGAACATAGTATTAAACAAAAATGTAATTCAGTTGAGAACAAAAAATACCCTTCTGTTGGAGTGATTCACATTTCCAGCTGATTTGTTATCAGCAGGCACCTGATCGAATTTACTGTCATTTTTTGTCTGACTCTGATTATAAGATGACGGGAAAAACTCTTTGGCCAAAGGATTCAGCTTTGTGAACATATCAACCAGATTCTGCACATTGAATTCCTTTGATTCTGCTTTGGCTGTTTCCACCACCAAATTGTTCTTCTTGTCATTAGCAGCTGCGGCTACTGGCGCTGCCTCACCTGACTTGTCAGCAACTGCAGCCATAGAATCAAAACCCAAAACCCCCCAAAGAAAATAAATAAATAAATAAATATAACCCAATGAACAGAGGAAATGGTAATTGGATTTTGGTAAATATGTTGTCTTTATTTCTTCTTTCTCACTACGGAGCAAAAAAGTTCAGAGCTTTAGAGAGAACAATTAAGATTATCGATGTGCCTCATAATAGATAACCATTGTAAATGTCTAGAAATGGAAATGACAGTGAAAATGCAGATTGGGTTCTCTTTTTCTTTTGGATGTGATTTAATTAAACTGACAAATACATCAAAATCAAAAAAGAGAAAGCAAAACTGGAAGAGACTGCAGCGATGAAAGTTAAAAAATGGGAGAATACGAGTGTTATAACATAAAAAAAAATTCAGTTAGCTTCTATCTTTTTTCCCTATAAAAATATATTTCACATTTGTTGAAATTTAAATTAAATGTATCTAATAAAAGAAAAATATTTTTAATTATTTTTTTAAAATTTAATATCAGATTAAGTTGGGGATATTTAACTCCTGTTTTGCTGGGTAGTTAAGATTACAAGTTACTATTTATTTTATAATTTATTTTTTTCATCTTTAGAATTTCAACTCTTAAGATCTAATTAAATCTTTAAAATTAGTAATAGAGAATTTGAAATAATACTAATAAACAAAATTATGCATTATCTGTAAATTACAAGTTTTGTTCCTTGAAACAAAGTATTGAAAAACCACTTTGCATTGCATGTTTGCACAAGAAACCCCACAAAAAATTATTTGTTATTTTGCCCCCACTTCTGAATTCTCCATTTTCCTTTCGAATGCTCTGCTTTTGCCTGCTATGTACGCCGTCCAAGAGAAATTCTTCCACGGCCTCCGTTTTCACCGTCACCGGTCCATCACCCGAAACTCTCGTCTCTGTTTATATTGCCTCGAATAGAACTCGGTGCTCCAGAAGATCCGATAAAACACTTCTCATTTTATCAAGTGAAACTGGTTTCAATATAACACCATTCATACCAACCCTCATGCAGCTCTCTTTCGTCACCTTGTCCGTGTTTCCAGTGAGCGCTACTATTATCGGCCTCTCATGGCGTTTTGTGAACTTCTCGTGCATGCAGATCGCTATTTCATAACCATCCATACCGGGAGTACAAACGTCCATGAAAACAATCTTGTGCTCGTTAGAAGCCACACGCAAACACTCCTCGCTCGAGCTTACCATTGTTACATCACAGCCAAGATGCCCCTTGGTCACCTTCCGGCTAACCCTGCATTACAACATAACAACTCAATGCTCATATTCACTTGGCATGGAAGAAAGAAGTACCATTAATGAATAGGATATGCATACATGAAAAGAATTTGTAACTGAACAAGCAACGCGTACCCGACATATCTTATTACCGGCAACTATGAGATATGGACAAAAACATACTCATCAAATAAATAGAAATTAACATGAACACAATGAAGCTGACCCATTCTCATCCATAACCAAAACTTTAAGCCCAGGAAAAGCTGTTGGACCATGATTTGGTGGTACTTTAGGCATGAAAACAAGTTTGGATTCATTCAACCGTTCTGGGATGCTGCCGATTTTTACCATGAAGATAGCAGTAGATCCCTTACCAAGACCTTCACTCTCAATCCAAATATGTCCCTCCATTAGATTTACAAACCTGATCACATAATTAAAAAAGGCAAACATCAGGTAGATAGCTGAAAAACTGAACCACCAGTATAGGGGTTGGAAGACGCGAAGAACTCTGAAAAAAGTGTATACCTCTTGCAAATTGCAAGGCCAAATCCACTGCCACCAGAATTTGGTAAAAAACTTGGGAATATCTTGGGGGCTAATCCCAATGCCTGAATCTTTCACCTGTATCAGTAGCCAAAAAAAAACATAAACATTAGCAACCTCTAAGATAAAAAAAAATTACAACTGACACCAATGGAACTAACCTGTACATGAAAATAAAAGTGATTATCGCTAAGCACGGAAAAAATTCAGGGGTTCGAGAATCTCTCAGTAATTCTGCTTTTGCAACAAAAGCCGTGATTGAAATGCTGCCATCCTTTGAAAACTTCACAGCATTACCGACAACATTTATAATTGTTTGCATCAGGCGCTTCTCATCACCAACGGCACATTCAGGTAAGTCAGGAGACAGGTTTAATGAAACATGAAGCCCATTTACTAGAATTCAGCAAGTGCAATGAAGAAGTCGGAAATATATTGATATTTCATCAACAGATCATCCGGGGGGCTATTGTGGATCTATGCAGTTGCAAGAAGAATCCATTCTGACTGAACCACCTAAGCTCTCACTTGTTCTTCATATATCTGAAGAAGAAAGGCAGACCATAAACAATTCACATATCCATTTGATTACAAGATAACAGGGAAGACAGAATAAAACATACAATTTACATGCCCTAGATTTCATCATATTTATGCCAAATCTAACATCACATAATCCTACCCAGTTTCTGTTCCTATTCTTTCCTCCCCAATGTCTTGCTAACAATCACACCCTTAAGCATAAATGACAAAGAAACGGAAAACGAGCAAAAAATCAAAATAAAACCTAAGCTGGCGAATAAAAGTACAAGAAAGATTACTGTTTTCAAAGGCGCCACCGAACTCTTAAGAGTTAGAACCCATCCATAAGTAAAATAGGACACAAAACATATCTGAACTGTGTTTGTATATATGCTAGTGTTTCTCCAGATATACATATTATGCACACACAAGATTATGAACAATAAACATTTAAGAATGGACAAATAGGCATGATTGATAACATCGAGAAAGACACTTGACTACTTGGATCCTGCAAGACCCAACAATACATACGCCTAGTTTTCAGGCTAAACAACGAAAGTTGCAACAAGTTGAACAAAAATGAAAAGCAATATCTCAAAATTATATTTTATGATAACAAAAACGAAAAGGAACAAAAAAGGTTCCATCCACAAAACATAGTGAGAGCTAAACACTAGCAGAAGACAATTGAATTATGAAATTTACACAAATCTCTAATAACAGTCGTAACACTTCCAAAAAAAAACATATCCAAGTTCCACAACCATGAAAAAGATTAAACAATAAATCAAAAAATCAAAACAAATTACACACTTAAGACCAATTCAACCACTCATGATGTCCAATCCCAAATCATTGAAAAAAAAAACTTACCTTTACAACTGAAAGTAAAATCTTGACCAGAGAATAAATGGTGGGGCTTTAGATTAGAAAGAAAAAGACCCAAATTTCAGAAACTGAAACTTACCCAAAAAAGCAATCAATCGAGTAGAACTTCTAGTTAAAACATCAAATCAAATTTCCCCCATAAGCTGCCCCACAAAAAGAAGTCAAAATTGAAAAGCGAATCAAAAGAAGATGGGGAAAATTCAACTAAAATGAACCCGAAGATCAAAATTACCTTGTTGGATTGTGTCTTTTTAGCAGCTTTAATTGCAGCCTTTTGCCCATTAAGACAGCCTTTTGACGATCTCCCTATACACGCGGGAGCTTGCCTACGTAGAAAGGGAGTGGGAAAAAAAGTCGGGATGTAAACACAAACCAGAAAGAAGTAGGCGGCATAATGATGTTGTCGCCCGCCCGTGAGTTTAGTTTTGGTAATAGACGAGCTAATCAAGAGACGGTTACTACTTATTGCTGATGTGGAACCCGCTCACTGAGGTCACGATGAACGGTGGTGATTACGTTTGAGTTTGACAGATGGGTAATTGTATTGGATGGCAACTTTTTTTTCCTTTTCTTTAGTTTCTTAAATTATTTTATTACTATTGGTAGTGCTTAATTAATATATAAAAAAAATTAGCACGACCTTAATTATCTCAGTAATTAAGAAATGATTCTTAATTTTAGAAGTTTTGAATTTGAGTATTAAAGAGTACATAATATTTAAATATTTAATGTCAAATGATTAGAAGTTTTTACAACCATACTACTTGTAAATACTCTAAATTAATCGATATATATATATATATATATAAACTTGAATTTCTTTAAGTGAAATAAAAAAATGAAAATTTTCAATACTTTAAGTTAAAAAAATTGTTTTATACGAATTAAGTTACTTCAATAGTGAAAGGGATGGTTATTGTTCTTAGAGATCTCGAGTTCGAGTACTAATATTTGTAGACATGTTTGAGCGTTCATTGTTAAATAATTTAAAATCTTTAAAAGAGATATTACCTTGTATCACCTTAGTTTTATTAAAAATATTTTTTTAAATTTAAATAATAATTTAATATGTAGACAAACATAATAAAACTAAATTCAAGCATGAATCAAGCAATCACAGTGGTTAAAGGGTAGTTGTTATCCCTAGAGGTATTGAGTTCGAGCATATCGTTTGTCTTAAGGAAGGCAACATGTTTGGTTGTGTCAGGTTTTTTGTCAACCAGACCCGACCCAAAAAAATACATACCTTCAACCCGAATCTGACTCGATCCAAAAAATATATACCCTCCACCCGACCCAATCTAACCTTAAAAATATATATCCTCTACCTGATCATGACCCAGCCTGAATATTTACAGTAAAATTCGTTCTGATACGACATGACCCTATATAAAATAAGAACTTAAAAATAGTAATAGAGAGGAATTATTATAGCAATTATCCTTAAATTTATTTGAATAAATTATACTCTTAAACTCGTGTCAGGTCGGGTTGAGTCGGAGTTTTTCACCCTCCACCCGACCCAACTAACCCCTTTAAAAAATTCAACCTGATCCTACTTGAACCGGAATTTTGAAAAAAAAAATCGACCGTATCAAATTGGGTCGAACCGAAATCCATCGATTTCACTTTAAATTATTATCCCTAATATGTCTATAGGGTATTTAAGTGTTCATTATCGTATCATTAAAAATATTTTGAACATATACTATCAAATAATGCATCCCAAACTAATAAATAAACTACATTCAACCACAAAGCCTTGCAAATTTTGGGTTAGCTCACCCAATAGTGAAACAAGTCCTACAAAGAAGATGGCCGAAAACACTCATTGTATCTTGGGCTATGTGATTTGAAGGATATTCAAAATGAAGAATAAATTAAGAGGTGTCGGAGTTAGGGATGGGAAAATTTCAATTTAATTTAATTCAAAATTCATATATTTAATTCGATTAAAAAAATATTAGCTTATAAACAAAGTTCATGTGGGCTTTATTGAGTATAAACGCATAACAGGCTTTGCTCCTTTGTTGAGACAGAACTTGGGCCTTTATAGACTTCATCCGCTTATAACGAGGTTCATGTGGGTTTTATTTTTGGTACGTAAAGTTCATGTTGGGTTCACAAAAACATGTTTGCTTGATGTAAACTCCTCTAGCTCATTAATGAAAAAGATCTTAATATTTTTACGGATGATTTTGAACTATTATTAGATTCTATTATACTTTTATAAATAATATTACTAAGAGAACATCTATATATTTCGAAAGAGTGATTTTTTTGATATAACCACTGATATATGATCTATTGATTGATTAATTTGGATCGGTATTGCAGAGACAATAACAATTCTCATAATTCAATTTATTCTGTTTGTAATCGTCAAGATTCGAATGTCTAACATTATTTAATAGATCAGTGTATTATTCCACTACACCAACTACTCATTGTTGGTATTTCTTTGAATTATTTAAACCGGTAAATTTTTTATATTTTATTGAATTATGAAAATTAAAGTTGATATTAGTGGCAAAGGTAATGCCGTGAAGGAATCTCAAAAAATTTAAAAAATGGGGAAGGATGAGAAGGGTAATGCCATGAAATTTTAAAATTATTATATATTTTTAAATATTTTATATGTATTTTTTATTAAAATTTTATTTTTATCTTCTAAAATTTTATAATTTTAAATTTATCTCCTTAAAATGTTAAAAGTTTAAGTTCATCCTATTATAAAATTTTACTTCCATCCTGATTAAAAAAATCTTAAATAACATTACATCTCAACGCTACACTTGCTTTCTTTTCCTCCTTTTTCTGTCATAATCGGATTGGAAAAGCACGAACTGCGGTAGTGCGGTGCGGTTGGTTTTAAGCAAAGTGATGAGTTGACTGGCTCAGAATGAGTTTAGTTATTCACCGAGTCAAAACTCAAAGGGGTTCGGGATTTTGGGCACGCCTCCATGGATGTGTGGTTAGAGATGCATGGACCGACACGCGTTCAGGTGCAAACTATTATTACATGGCGATAGATGAAAGGCTTACTGTCCTTGGCGGCAGCTTGTGGGTCCAGTTTTTGGTTTTCTTTTTGTTGCGTTTGTAAGATTAAAACGTGACAATTAAAGGTTATAATAATTTGTCGATAATGATGGTCATCCATTGGTTATTGAGCTTAACCTACAAGTAATAGGAATGACGGTTGTTGATTGGGCACATATTGAGAGCGTCCATGAAACAATACAAGATTTTTCATTACAATAAAAAAATAAAATATACAAATGATTTTTCAGATTATAAGATATTATTTTATTAAATATTTTAATTATTATAAGTTAAAAAATAATCTTTTGATTATATAGTTGAGTCTATCGATTATTAAAAGTTATAAAGTGATCATTTGATTATTTATTATGTTTCAAAATTTTCATTTCTCGTTAAAAAGTCGACGATTTTCTTATTTGAACGTTAACTTGATAACTATGATATGATAAAATCTGATCTCAGAATCTCAAACGACTATCATATCTCAATCATCATATTAACTTTCAACTTAAACAATCGTCAATTTTTTAACCAAAAAGAATGAGTTTGAAACATGATGAATTGGATGACAA